ACCCAGAAACTAAGTCCACACACACACACACACACACACACACACACACACACACACACACACACACACACACACACACACACACACACACACACTACTGAGGCCCTGCTGTTCTCACTGTTGCAGGGAAACACATAACAGGGCGAGTCAATAAGTAACGTGTTACACAAACCTATTGTGTTATCTGGAATTCAATAATTAGCCTGGCACTGTCTCCTACAATACCACAATGATGTGTGAATGATGTGCCGTGCTGTTGTAAAAAGAAATGTTTACATTAAAAATCTATCTTGATTTGATCTTGCTTTGTTGCAGCTGCTGAGAAGGTTATTGACTTCTTATAACCTGTATTTTCTTTCGAGGGTGAATGTTTGTTTGGATGCTTTCTCAACTAGCTAAAGTGCAGGACAAGATATGAGTTTGTATGAGTGAGTCAGGTGGAGAGGAGAATTTAGCAGTAAAGATAATGTAAATGGTAAATGGACTGCATTTTGTGATTGTGAATCACGTGATTTATCTAGCTTTATTACACAGCTTAGTTGAATACTTGATTCTGATTGGTCAATTATGACATTTCAGAGGTTGTAAAAATATGAGACTGCTAGAGAACAGACTAGGGATGTAACGATACCAAAAACTCACGGTACGATAATATCGCGATAACAAGTCCACGGTACGGTATTTATCGCGATATTGAATAATAAAGGGAAGAAGAAGAAAAATCTTTAAAAGAAAATTTCAATAAAACATTTTTTTACTCGGAAAATGTTTCTTTATTACATAATAAATCTGATTTTTACAGCATTTTTGTAGGATCGCAGTATTTTAAAGTGTCAAAAACAAAGTGACAGTAACAGACTGGAACAAGAAAACCAGTGTTTTTGTACCTACTGGTACTACCAAACAAAGTAAGCATTTTCTTTATGCCACTGCATCTCACAAATAAACAAGGACATTTAATAATCAGACCCTGCAATAAAATAAATCAAGTTTCACTTTAGTTTTTCAAGTAACTCAACTCAAACTCACTAGTCACTCACTCAACAGGTTTTTAGGAATATGAGAATGCCCACATTTCCAGGTATTTATAAGTTGGGGTGTTTGGGCATTTACAATATCCCCTGCTCTGTAAAAAACTCTCTCGCTTGGTACTGATGTTGCTGGGACACCAGTGGTCGCGTTAACCGAATATTTTATTTAACAATGACGGAAAAATCTGAAAGCAGTCTGTCATTTTGACAGATTAGAACAAACTCGGAACAGCGCCAACGTTTCCCCAGAGCCAGGCTCTGATGTTATCCCGTGTTATGCATGCCCTCCAAAAGGAAATGATATAGTTTCCAAACCGTACTTTGCCGTTCAGATCAATACATGTCTGGGAGGTTTTGCTTTACGCTGTGCGCGTCCCGCGAGGTGCATGCACACACGGCATAACACCGCCCCCCCCACCCCCCGTTGACAGTTCATGAGCATGCTCTATCGTGAACTGTTCAGACCCGACGGGTAATAAGGGATTATGACGGATATTTTACGATCCTGTCTGTCAAAATGACGGACAGCGAAAAAGTCTAACGCCAGGCTTATTGACATGGCGAGATATAAATATATGGTTGGTACTTGTCAATGTCTCTAGGTGTGTAAATGTAGCCCTGTAAATACGATGTCCTTTTGTGTTATCTGTTGTTTTATTTTCATGTTGTAACCTACTTGCTGCCATGTTGGACAGGTCTCTCTTGAAAAAGAGATCGATGATCTCAATGGGACCACCTGGTTAAATAAAGGTTTAAAAAAAAAGAAAGTGTTTAAAAAAGTGTTCAAAAAATTTAAAAAAAAATTAAATCGCGGTAGATTTTGCAGTCTCACGACGGTATTGGGAAGTTTATTGACCGCGATACCGCGATATTCGGTATATCGTTACATCCCTAGAACAGACTGTTGCTAAGGAGGATCAAGGGACTCTGTGCGGCCATATAAATCAGCAGAAAGAAGTTTGATAAATGTAAAGTCAGCTGTTGAAAACAAACATTAGTTTTTCTCTACCATGCAATACTTTTTGAATATCATTTGTTTTTTGTGGAAAGCACCACACTTTTGATTCATAATGGCTAAATGTCCTAAGTTAAGAAAAAGGTTAAAGAGTGCTTTTACTTAAACAGCACATACAGTATGTATATAGGATACATTTACATGTTGACTGCAGTGGCTGGAATCAAACCCACAACCTTCCAATTGGAAGACAGCTGCACTGCCTCACAGTTGCCCCGACTGTGGCTCATGTGTTGTATAGCGCTCGGCTGAGTGAACAATGATTTGACTGCTTATTTATGCTGAATATGTGTATGTAATATGAATGATCCATGTCCTTGGACAGACAGTTGAAAATGATTTCATTAAATGAATGCCAAAGAAGCAGGCACCACTGCAAAACCCTCAAAAGGAGAACACAGGACAAGTGATTTGCAAGGTAGATCAATATAATGTAGCAAACAAGAAATACCATTTAATTTCAATTGGACTTGAAATAGCTTTAAAGAGAAATCTCTCAAAGAGCGGTCGGTGGGAAAAAAACTGTGTGGTAGCAGAGACTGGCAGCAATCCCTGCATTCCTCTATCAGCTGACTAGTCCACTCAGTGTGTGCGCAAAGGCTACTCATGTGAATGGAACTACCCAACACACACACACACACACACACACACTCCTTCTCTGAGCAGCAGGCACACACACTCCACACAGACAGAAACAGCTTGCACACGGCGACAACACTTTTGGTTTCTTACCTTGTCTACAGGTAGTGGTAACGGAGCCTGGATGACACTAAAAGAGGAAGAGAGGAGAAAACACTTTGTCACCATGGGAACAGCAAGGAGGAGAAATGCATGGAGACAGAAAAAAGAAATGGCTCTTGAAGGTCTTGTGACGCTGGTTTTCACCTCCTTGTTAAATGCAAACCCCAGATTAGCACATCAAAGCGTACACATCATTGGCTTCACGTTACTTTGAGAATTTGGATTATCCCTGAAAGTTTCTCTTCTTAAAAATAAATAAATGTTTCAGTAATATATTAGTTTATTTTCCTTATAAATAATTACTTAATGGACAAGTATAACGCCGATTTAAACACAGCTTAACAACCATAAAACTACAAACTTCATACAATTGCAATCAACATG